ATCGTCCTGGAGACCGTCCCGCTTCAAATTGAAATGAGAAGGCGCAGGGTCAAAATTAGGGTCAAAATTATCGTCGTGGAGACCGTCCCGCTTCAAATTGAAATGAGAAGTGCGGGTGAAAAATATCGTCGTGGAGACTTTCCTAGGTCAAAATTAAGGTCAAAATTATCGTCCTGGAGACCGTCCTGATTCGAATCTAAATGAAAACGCGCAGAGTCGAAATTCGGGTGACAAATATCGTGGTGGACATCGTGCTTGCTCACAATATCAAAATTATCGCTTTGGAGACCGTCCCGATTCAGAGTTAAGTGAGTAGGCGCATAGTCAAACTAGGGGTCAAAATTATGGTCGTGAAGACCGTCCCGATTCAAGGTTAAACAAGAAGGCGCAGGCTGAAAATTCGGGTGAAAAATATGTTCGTGGAGACTTTCCTGATTCAATTTGAAATTTCAAATAAAATAAATAAAAAAAAGTGCAGGGTGAAAATTAAGGTTGATATTAGCATCCTGGAGACAGTTCCGAATCAAATTCAAATAAGAAGATGCAGGGCCATAGTGAAGTTCGAAATTGTTCTCTTCGAGACAGTCGCAATTCAAATTTCAACTAGGATCAGAATTAGGGTGAACATTATCCTCCTGCATGGAGGAAATCCTGGTCCAAGGAAAGAGAAAGACAAGACGACGTGAAAACGCAATCCTCGGAAATGTTTGGATTTTTTCCAAGGATGGCTGGACATGATCGTCCTGGAGACCGTCCTGATTCAAATCTGCATGCATGAGCAGGAGGGTCAAAATTAGGGTGAAAAGCATTGTCAACATTTTCATCGTTGGTAAGTCTTTGCATTATTCCTGGCACAATCGCGCAGCCAGTCACCTACAAGCCTGACTCACCCAATCGTTCTTTCCGACTCACCCAACGAGTCATTTCTGACTCACTCATTAGCTCGGGCCGACTCACCCGACCCGACTCACCCGTCACCCGGCCCCCCCTCACATTTCCGCTTTGGAGCGGCAGGCACTGAAGCAGAGCCAAGATAATCGTCCAGCAACTTGCTCAGATGATGACAAGTGGTCACATGAGAACATGACTCGCTCTTAGTAGTGAAGGGAATGATGATCTGACGCTCGTACAACTGTCCCAAAAATGGGAAGGTGCAAAACATTGTGCAGCCTACTCGTACTCTGGGTGACATGCACAAATCAAGAAGATGTCAGTGCAGTTCAGTTTCATTTTGCTTGGCATGAATCACATGCACAAGGATTTCACCTGAGGCCCATTTCGGCTTGAAAAGAGCGCGAGTGCTCCGTTTTCTTTCGCATGGTAGCGGAGCCCAATAGGGGCTACCGCTAACCCTTTGCTTCTGGATTTCTGGCTTGTTACAAGCATTTGGAATTTTCTGGAAGTTCAACAGATGGCCCGGTCCCTATGGAAATAGACCGAGTTGAGTCAAAAGGCAAGTACAAAGGTGGCTCAAAAGGAAAGTCAAAAGACAAGAATGGATCAAAAGGAAAGTCCAAAGGGAAACAAAAGGGAAAAGAAGTGAAAGGAAAAGGCAAAACTTTTGACCAGAAAGGAGCAAAGGGTAGCGGAAAAGGAAAAGGAAAGAATGAGCCCAAACAATGTTTCAACTGTGGTCGTTCAGGGCATTTTGCTCGCGATTGCTGGCAGCCGCAGCAAATTCGAAATGTTGGCTCCGAGAACTTGCAAGGGTCTACAACAGAGCAAGGGTCTCCAACTTCTTCGGTTGGGGGCATGTCAAGCGTTTCTCAGCAATATGGCAGCCAACAGATGCCAGTTAATCCAGCGTCGGCCACTCAGTACAAGGTTGCAAGGATTGTTGAAATTGGTGATGATGTCTCAAGACATGGTGAACTTGTTTTTGACATGAGAGATTGCAGTCCGAGCAGTGTGCAAGGAAATGTAAATGTTGTCCATCACTACATAGGTGATGACTTGGATGATTGCGTTGGTGATTTCAGTTTCAGTGGTGCCATCCGAACAGTTGTGGATGTTGACAACGATTCAGTTGCAGGAACATCAGAAGAGTTGCATAGCATTTTGATTGACAGTGGTGCAGATGCTTCAATTTTCCCAGCGTATCTGCTTGGAAAGGGTCAACAGGTTGTGGATTCAGTGGGAAAACTTTGCGATGCTCAAGGCGTTGAAATCCCCATAGCTGCAGTTCAGGACATGGAGATCAGACTGAAAGACTTGACAGGACGAACAATCTTACTTCGTGAGCGAGTTGCAGTCTCAGACAAAGTCGGTCAACCCATTCTTTGTTTTGGTCACCTTCTTGAGAGCGGTTGGGGAATCGATGCAACACAACAGACACTGACCCATGCAATTGCAGGTGCACATGTTCCACTGGAAATGCAGAACAAGTCAATGGTGGTTCAGGGTACCATCAGAATGCTTCAACTTTGTGATGTCAATGATGATTCCGTGCGTGTCAGGGCAATTCAAGCTGAAGTTCAAGATAGCGTTGCGCATGGCGCTGTTGGCTGGGAGCTTGATGAGCGTGGATGCGGTATTGGCAGGCATTACTCTGACAGGTTTCAGGATCCATCAATGGTGAAACCAGACATGCCTGGGCGTTTCTTCAGGACAACGCTTGTGCAGGGCCGTGACAGCAAGTGGTATGTTTTGGAGTTGTGCGAACAGCTTGATGGACTTGTTCAATTGGATGCAGAGTTTCATGAAATGCATGGCAGAAGAAATGTGATAACGTTTGTTACAGACTCAGAAAAGGATCCAATGGTGCTTGGTTTTACGTTGGTGGATGAGCAGCCTGAGAGGTTTCCAGTTCAGGCAGATGATGGCGATGTGGACATTCCTGATGAAAGCATGCAAGTTCAGGGCGCTGAGATTCCTGAGGGCAGAGTGGCAATTCAACCAACTGCAGAGGACGAAGTCAATGTGAATGGCACTGTCCTCAGAGAAAGTAGCAGCCTTGCAGCTCTGCGTGCTGGATGTTCATTTTACAGTTTATCGACATCGGGATCCAAGTCAAAGTGTTTCAAGCGTTTGGTTGAGCATTCAAAGAAGCTGGAGTTAGACATGGTCATGGCAGCAGCTCGTGAAGCTGTCAATCAGCAAGAGCGCTCACCTTTGGCGCCGGTCTCAGCAGAAGTTCCAAGTGAATGGGAGCAGTCACAACATAGGCTGACTCACTTACCTTTCAAATCATGGTGCCCGTCTTGCTTGGCACATCGTGCACGCTCAGACAAGCACGAGCGTTCAGGGGAATCGCACTCTGGTCCGGTCCCTACAATCAGCTTTGATTTCTTCTTTACAAAATCAGATGGAAAGGATGCCAAGGGTGATGAGCCAAACAACATCACCTCGCTGATTGTGGTTGACAGTCATACCAGTTTTGTTGCTTGCGTGCCTTTGGAAGGGAAAGCTCAGTTGGACCATGCAAACAGAGAAGTGATCAAGTTTGTGCAGATGCTTGGATACAGTGAAATCATTTTGCACTGCGACAACGAGCCAGCCATTTTGCAATTGAAACGTTTGGTGCTGAAAACGAGACAGAGTATGGGTTTGAAGACAAGGGAATCAAGCACTGTGGCTTACGACAAATCCAACAGTCTTGCAGAGAACGCCATAGGGCGTGTGAGGCCACTTGCATGTTCCCTCATGCACCAACTCCATGGAAGGCTTGGAATCCAACTTCCTACAACAAGTGCAATTTGAACCTGGTCTTTGCAGCATGCTGCATGGTTGATTTCGAGGTACTCTGTAATCAGAGGAGCGACGCCTCATGAGTTGGCATTTGGGCGAACTTACAATGGTGAGTTGTGCGAGTTTGGGGAGCCAGTGTTTGCTTACGTGGTGCCAAACACAAAGGCATCAGCTCGATGGAAACGAATGCTCTTCTTGGGCAAAGCAGACACGCAGAACAGCTATGTTTTGTTCGATGGCCAGGCAATTGTGATGTCCAAAAGTGTCAGACGCATCACAACAACCTGGAGAAGCCACATGGCCTACTACCTTCACTGCAAATGCTTTTCTTGGCAATTTCGTTCAGGTTTTGGCCCCCGAGTTTTGCCCACGATGAAGAAAGCCGTGCCCAAAGCAGTTAGCTTTGAAATGCCGCTGGAACCAATAGAAGAAAACAAGTTGCATGACAGGGATGCTGAAGCAGTGATCGAGTACAGTGAGAAGGAGAAACAGGCCGAGGAGGAGCAGCTTGCCATTGCTTCTCAAGAGCTTCAAGCAATGGTGCCTCAACAGTCTGAAGTTTCTGGAAGTGCTCCATCCGGTAGCGTGCCTGAAAATGCTCCAGCAGTTCCTATGTCAAGTTCCCCGATGAATGTTGAAGCTCCAGCTGGTTCAGTGCCTAGTGCTGGCCATGCTGGAGGTGATGGAGATGCTGAGGACCCAGGTCTTGCAGTTCCAGTTACTCCACCACGTGACTTTGTTATGGTGGAACCTTTGAGTGATGCAGAGGCTGATGTTTCAAGGGGACAGCGCACTGAAGATGCAAAGCGTCAGAGGATCAACCGTTTGAAAGTGGAGTATGAGAAACGTTTGAGTGAGGTGAAGTAGGCGCATCATAGGAACTATGAAAGCCTTGTCTTTTCGAGCCCGGCGTAGGAACGAAGCGTACAAGGTTGTTCAGGTTATAGGTAAACAGGACTTCCTCGTAATAACACCAAACGTCAAAAAAAAAGATCACTCTGTGTCATTTGAATTATTTATTTGTACCGGACTTACTACTCAAGGGTAGCGGTGGGAGGGAGCACAAAATTGTGCAACCATTTTCCTTTTTGCTTGCATGCGCCGTTCAGAAATTCATAAGGGCCATATTGCCTATCACGCGCCTGTTTTTCTGGGACATCAGACCAAACAGTTTCCATATTGGACTTCATTTCCCTGCGGGTGCATCGTAGGCCTATTTTCGGCCTTCATTTTGCTGTTTTTGTGGGTGCTTCAAGCTTGACGCTTTTCCAGATTTTCTGTGCTTGTTTTGCGGGGGAGAAGACCCAAGCAGCATGCCCTGGAGATCAAACGTAGGAGAGCCAGATGGAAATGGTGAAAACGCAGTCGAGGCCTCACCAGGAGAACAGACTTCGCCAGGTGGGTTTTCGGAGGCACAGGGCCCCAACACTGGTTTGCATGGATGGGATGACAGTCTGGTAGAGTCAGAACAAATGGGTTTCTTGGAATCTGGACAGTATACATCCCCTCTTTTTGGGACAGGTGATAATTTGGAGCCTGGATCGGAAGTGCCATCTGCAACTCACTATGACGGTGAAACTGCAGCAACCTGGAGGTTGCCCAAAAAGAGGGTCCTTGACAATGCGTTGGTACAGCAACATGCGGGTGTCGACAGCCATTTGTTTTTCAATATGGTGAAACTGCAGAAGCCTCAGGAGGCTCTGAAACAACCTTGGGAGAAAGGGGTCATGGCCCAGATTTGCGGTGCTTCACAGACAAGACTGCCTATGCCCTGGCTTACCTTACCAAGTGTGGGTCGTAGAGACAGTTTGATGGGCGCCACTCCCTTGGAAGAGCCACCTGAGAAGAAAGCCATGCGAACACCTTTTCATTACAGACTCTTGTTGACAACTCGACTTGCTCAAACAGATGACCAGCTCAGAGCTAAAGCAATGCGACGCTTGCGGGACTTGGTTTTGGTGGCTCCCGATCAGTCTAGGTTGGGGAGAGCTTTGCTGGACGTTTCTGGACAGCTTACTGGAGAAGATCGCATTTCCAGTGTCTTTGCAGATGCTTTCAGAAGCCGTGCAACATCAACACTGGTGAAGCGGTCAATGGATTACTACAAGATGGCAGTCTGGATGGACCAACAGCTGGACCTCAGGCCAATGCAGGTGTCTGAGAACGTGGTTTATCAGTATCTCTCATTTTTGAGAGAATCAGGGTCAGCCCCGACCTTAGCAGATGCAACGGTGAAAGCAGTATGGTTCATGCATTCAACGGCAGGTTTCATTGATTTCCATGCTGACATGTTTTCATCAAGAATTACAGAAGTCTGCAGAGATATGTTCATGCGGAAAAGGATCTTGAAGCAGGCCCCAGCTTTTCCTGCACGAGTGGTCCGAGCCTTGGAGGAGTATGCACTTCTGACCAAAAATGTCGTGGATGCCAGATTTGTCAACTTCATCCTCTTTTGCATTTTCTCTAGTTGCCGTGTTGGAGATGCTTCGAAGATTACAGAGGTGACTTTTTCGCAATTCCAAGAGGTGTATCTTGTGGAGGCTGCGACAACGGAAGCTAAGAACACTGCAACCATGGAACGTAGAAGAATGTTGCTGCCTTTCACTGCCGTGGGTTGGGGTGTGTACCCAAACCCATGGAGCATCAAATGGAAGATGCAACTTGAGGCAGAGAAACATGTCACGATCATGCCAGCGTTTTCTGAAGTGTCAGGCCGTTTCTTGGACAGGCGTTTGACGACTGCAGAGGCGAACATGTGGCTCAAAGAGATCCTCATGCGTGTTGGCCTTACGTTGTCAGAGGCTTGCAGGTACAGTACGCATTCATGCAAAGCAACCATTCCAACTTGGGCTGGGAAATTTGGTGGTTTTTCAATTGATGAGAGACGGATGCTGACTCATCACATGGACGCGGGGTCTGTGATGCCGCTGACTTATTCGAGAGACAACCTCACTGCTTTGCATTCCAGAGTTTTCCGCATGCTCACAGCAATCAGAAACTTTGAATTTGACCCAGATGCTTCGAATGCTGCCAGGATCTTCAAGGACAATGCAGACTTGTTCGAGGGTCCAGAAGAGGTGACAGAGCCGCCGTGCGACTGGGCTGCCTCAGAGTCAGACGTGTCTGGAGATGAAAGTTTGCAAGAGGAGTCACATTTCATGAGGGACCATCAAACACATGCCAGTGAAGTTTGTGGTGACAGACTCCTTCACAAAGAGTCCATGGTCGTTCATGTGGCAAGAGATCAGCAGACGTTGTGGTGTGGCCGCAAGAAGTCAGCCAATTACCGAGAGTGGCAGATCGGCGACCCTGACTGGGAGCAGTTGCTGGTGTGCCAACAGTGCGACAAGTCCAAACCTTAGAGAAAAAGAGGAATGCAGCCGGCCAAGTTGGAAATGTTTTTAAAGTCCAATCAGGTCGACAAGTTTCTCTTTTTTCACAACCAGTATTCTGCATTGGCATACAAACGTACATATATACTTACTTGTAAGTATACGAATTAATATCGTAGGGCATGCAGCGGTCAATTTGTTTTCATGCAAACGGGTTTGAGGCGGCCCATGAAAGTCGCAATCCAAACTCTTGCAAACGATTTGAGACCGTAATTCAATCGCACATCATCGAGATTATAACCATGAGAAGTTGAGGTGAGCATCTCACAATCCAACTTGACATGGAATCAGTTGTCAAACTGCCACACAGTTTGAGGCGACATTTGTCGTAATCCAAACAGTTGTGAGCAATGGCAACTGTCAACTGAGCTTCATGCCGACATCATCAAGGCTCAGTATTTAAGCCGGCGTTTGTGCATTTTATCACGCGTTTTGAGTCTCAGATGCGTTGACAAGTTGTGCAGTATTTCACAATCTTTCAATGGATCCTTTTAACATGTCAGTTTTGTTTTGCAATTTCACTTCAGTCCATTTAGCTTGATCTGCTTTGCTGCGATGGTGTCTTTGGAATCCAAAGCGGCATGGGGGTCACGGGCAAGAGCAATTGGGGTGCCAGATGGTTTTATTTCAGAATTGAAAGACGCCAGTTTGGACACTTTTGGACAATGGGCTTTCTGTTGTGCGTCTGACCCTAGCAGTGCAGATGACACGCCAGTCAAAGAGGCAGTCCAGACCCTAATTGGCAGAGAAGTGACTCCCCAAGAAATGATTTACTGTCGCAAGCTTTTCTTTGAGGGCAAAACCTATGCAGTATCAGATATGCAAGCTCGTATTGACCGTAGTGCTGATGACAAACCTCGGGTGATGCCGCTGGCGGAAAGGATGGCTCGCATAGAAAGGCAGAAATCAACGCTGGTTGGAGTCACCTGGACAGCAGAATTAGAGCCAGCTCATAAGCTGGTAGACAAGATATTGACCATGAAGGAAGATGGCACTTTAGTGTTTATTCCACCTCAGAAGTGCATCAGCCGTATCCAGGAGATCCAACAGGAGAAACATGAGGTTGCTTTAACCTTCGATGCTACTGGGAATGTCAAGATGGGCAAGCGTGCTGAGGAGTTGAAGTGTGATACAAATGGAGACTTGAACCTCAGGAACGCATGGACACGCAGAAACTTAGCATTTGACCAGGCTGGTCTGGCAAGCTTTGTCGTGCTGGAAAAGTGGGCAACGAAGCTGATGCTGGCAAAGCTCAAAGAGCCACCTTCAGGTTACAAATACATTTCAACCCAGCAGATTTGCGAATGTGACAAAGAGTTTTGGATGTTACTTTCCCAGCAGAGTATAGGGGAAGTTTGCACTCTCTCCATCCAGATGTTTATCCCCTGGACAATTTGATCGAGCAGTTGACAACGTCCCCAGAGGTGCTGTGCTTTTTGTCTCCACTTCCAGGCCAAAAACGTGAAGCCACCGAATCATCAGCAGCACCAGCTCCTAAGAAGCCAAAGCCGGCAGCAGAAGAAAGTGGAGGCGCTCCAAAGGCGCCGGCAGCACCTTCCGGTAACAACTGGAGAAAGCTTCCTCAAGGTTGCCAGCGTAAAGGACAGAATGGATGGCGGTGCCTTAAATATCAGTGGGGACTTTGCAACAAGCAGAAGGAAAGCAAGTGCAAGTTTGGAATCCACGAGTGCTTCAAGTGCGGAGCAAAGAGGCCATATAATCAATGTGAACACTGACAAAGGTCTACAGAAGAACAGCCACACGAGTCACGTCAAGCGTCATTCGTGGAATTCTTCTCTGGTTCGGGTAGTTTATCTCATGCCATGAGACAGGCAGGCTGCAATGTTTTTCCAGTGGACCACAGTTCAAATAGATTTACACCAAAGGTGCCGACTTTCACCATTGATTTAGGCAACACTGACGAAGTCAAAGTTGCAGAACAATTGCTGCGCTTCACAACGCCCAAGGCAGTCCATTTTGGTTTGATGTGCGGCACTTGTTCCCGTGCTCGGGAACGTTCCTTGGCACCAGCCCTGCGTCGACAAGGGGCTCCTGAACCAGCCCCACTGCGAGATGAACAGCATTTGCTGGGGAAGCCCAATTTGAAGCCTCATGACAAGGTCAAGGTGGAAAAAGCCAATCAAATTTATGCCAATGCCATTTTGTTGTTGCAAATTTGCTTTGAACTGAAATGCATAGTTTCAATAGAGAATCCAGCACGCAGCTGGCTCTGGCCCCTTCTTGCGATGTTGGTCAAAGAGACTGGCCGTACCGACTTTATTCAGTGGTATTTTTCTCTGGTTAGCACGATGTTTGATGCATGCATGCATGGCTCAACAAGAGACAAAAGTACAACACTCCTTGGCTTCCCAGGCGTGTTTGAATCGTTGGGCATCAGATGTGACAGATCTCATTCACATCAAGCTTGGTCAGCAACAAAAACAATTCACCAAGGATGGGTTTTCGACACTGCAGCAGAGGCTGAATATCCAGCACTCCTTAGCCAGCGTATTGCAGCATGCATAGTGCGACATATACCACAGAGCTGTCTCGACGTTCAACGTAACAACCTGCGTATGACCAGCTTGCAGGTGCAGGGGCGACAACACAAATCATTGAAACAACTGATTCCAGATTTTGCCTCATTTTTCTGGGCACAACTTCCATATACTCCAGCGAAAAACGAGAAATGTTTGCCACCTAAGACTGCGGGGGAAGAGAACGAGGTGGACAATCAATGCAATGAGGAACAGAACTCAGATGAGATGATCAAAGTGGGGGTCTTTTTGGTACCGGCCGATCACTTGGAGTTGGCGCTACAACTTAAACATCCTATGGATACTACTGCAAAATTGCCAGACCTCCTCAAGAAGGCCATATTCAAAATGCTCACCACAGAACCCTCAGATCTTGCAAAAGAGCGACTGGAAATGCTGAAGCTTTACAGGCGGCGTGCGGAGGAGCTACAACAAGCCGAACATGAGCTGCATAACTCCCTGCCTGATCATGTCAGGGAGGTGGTCCAAGGGAAGCGCATTTTGTTGCTGGAAGAAAGGTTGAAGGCCACCGCCTTTCCTGGCTTGCAAGCGGCGGAAGATTTCAAGCGTGGAGCAGACTTGGTGGGGGAAGAACCCTTCTCCCCACTTTTCATGGAGAAGCTTCAACCGGCTTCTATGACAGTGGAACAGCTGGAGATGACTGCAGCAATGAACAGGAGCCTGGCCATGGCGAGGCCATTAACTGAACATGAGCAGCCACATGCAAATAGACTGGTCGAACTATCCCAAGAAGAAGTTGACGAGCGGTTTTTGTCGGGCCCTTATTTTTCTGAAGATGAGGTTTCTCAAAAGCTGGGAACCACTGCTTGGACCCTTACAAAGAGATTTTTGCTGCTGCAAGGGGAAGACTTGAAGGAAAGGGTTATTGACGATTACCGCCGCAGCTTGGTCAACTCGGCATTTGCGTCGAGATCCTATTTGGAACTGCAGGATGTGGACGTACTGGCGGCCATGATCACCATGGTCACTGCAGCGTCAATACATGGATTGCTTAATTTTGCCTCTGGTTTTACACTGGGAAAATCACTACAGATGGCGGCGCATGGGTTCTCCCTACTTGCGTCGGGGTTCACTTTGCCAGCGGACTCCCTTCAGGACCTTTGCCATCATTCACTGATAATTTTGAAAACGCTGCAGCCGAGACATATTGAGTTGCCTCTAAATTTTTCACCAGTGATAATTTATACTGATGGCGCCTTTGACTCAGAGCGGGCCACCTGGGGTGCCATCGTGGTGGACGCCTTGACTTCAACAAGACTCTGTTTTGCGGGGGCGGTACCTATGTTCCTTTTGGATGCTTGGAACAGTGGATGTGGAAGCTTCTGGAGACATTACAACTGGAATTGTCTCCCAGGTGTTTCAGATTCTGGGTTGGAAGCACGCGGTCGCCGGAAAGAAAGCCAAGCCTTTCTCCAAGACGTTTGGTGCTCTGGGAGTCGAATATAACTTGGAAAGGATACATGATGGCCAGTTTACAGTGGGTAATAAACAAGAGAGACTGGACAGGATTGGTCGCATGATCAGCCAAGTTGCAACTGACCGGAAAGTACTCCGGTAGGAGATCAACTGATATGTCAGATAGAAATGTTTGCGGTGTTGTGCATCAGATGGAGGATGAGACATTTACTGAAGGGACGGCGCTTGCTTTTGTTCATTGACAATGAACCTTGCAGATACGCTTTAATCAAAGGGCGTTCGGCATCGGACCCTTTGTTTCGGATGTCCCATGCGTGCGCCTGCATGGAGGCAGCCATGCCTTGCTTCATCTGGTACGAAAGGATACCATCCTACTCTAACCCTGCAGGCCTTCCTTCGAGACAAAAGGCCCACGAGGCCTGCCACCTTTGGAACCTCCAATTTGCGGGCGACATTGTTTTGCCACCAGAACTCCTGACAGCGATAGTCGACGGCGTTTCATTTCCAGAAGTTGCTTGGGTGGAATCGGACCTAACATGGGTCATTTCACAACGTGGGAGGGCAAAGGATGACAACTAGATACACTGAGGTTTCGAACGAAACAATCCAGTGGATAACAACTTCAAAGCTGAGGCCTTTGAAAAAGGCGATCCAGCAACCTAAGTCCGATTGCCAGATGATTCATCCCCCGACCGGCAGCAAAAAGAGAGAGACCGTCGCATTCAGTTGGGCATTACATGTCAATGCAGTTGATGTTTCAAACTGTTAAGTTTTAAATGTTGTTTAAGTTTTTAAGTTTGCGCGTGCGTAGTTTAGGACGTTTGGTGTAACCTGGAAGTGTTACCTTCTAAACAACCTTGAGGGCTCAAAAGACACTGGCGTATAAGGAGTACTTCACTGTTGATGACTATACAACAGATTTGGACTTGGAGGAGGAAGACAACGAAGATGTTTGGGCTGGTGAAGATGATGTCAAGTTGCAAGGCATCCCCATGGAGCTGTGGTCGGATCATCCTATTGACAAGCAGCCACCTTTTCCTGACAGATGGATCGATGACTTGGCCGACAAGGTTGAAATTCAGAGGTTGCGTGAGATGGAAGTTTTGGTTTTAGCAACCGAATGCCAAGATGATCCAACTGGAAAACTTACAACAAAATTTGTCAGGGATTGGCGGTTGAAGAGTTTCTCTGATGACAATGGAGAACGAAAGAAATGGATGCGAAGATCACGACTGGTTGCTCGGGAGTTTGCCAACTCCAAACGGCTTGACACTTTCAGCCCAGCTACGGGTGCACATGTCTCCAACATCCTACCTTTGAAGTATCTTTGGATGAAGTCTGGAGTTGCACGTATGGAAACAAAGGAGGAGTATGACACCGTCCTTGCGTCGCTTGATGTGCGAGATGCATTTCTTCAGGTGGATCAGGACAATCCAGTCTTGGTGAAGCTGCAGGGAGAAAACTGGGTTATCAAGAAGAATTTACCTGGACAAAGACTTGGCGCAAAGCAATGGTTTCAGTACTTGCGCAATCACCTGCAGGAAACAATGGACTTTGAGTTTTCAATGGAGCAGCCATGCATGGCACGAACAAAGGAGTGCACAATCATCATACATGTGGATGACATATTGTTTGTTGGTTTGAAAACGTTTTGGAAAGATGTTTTTCTGCCAAACATGAGTCAGAAGTTCAGCATCAGCCACGACCAGTTGCAGGGCAATGGAACCAGCATAAAGTTTTTGAGGCGAACGATTACAGAAGTTCCAGAAGGTTTGGTTTTGTCTCCTGGGACAAGTGTTGCAAAGGTGGTCCAATCTTTTGAGCAGCATTTTGGAACCGCCCGAGCCCAAAAGATTCCGTGTGATTCCAGTTTGCAATTGGTTGACAACTCACAGAAACTTGATGACAAAGATGCTAGCAATTTCAGAAGCGTGGTTGGACTTTGCTTGTATGTTGGAAGGGGGAGACCAGACCTGATGTTTGCAATAAAGGAACTTGCAGCAGTGATGGCGTGCCCAACAGTTGTGTCCCTTCAGCACTTGCGAAAACTGATAGGCTTCATGAAACATGTTGGAGATGTGGGTGTACTTCTGCGTTTTCCTCAACCAGGAATTGGGAAATTTCATGCAGGAGGAGATCAGGAGTTTGTGCTGGAGAGTTTTAGCGATGCTGACTGGAGCTCAAGCAAAAGTCACAGACGCAGCACAAGCTGCGGCATGCACATGATCAACGGTGCATTCATGTATGGAAGCAGCAGAAGCCAGAAAGTTGTTTCGCTGTCAAGTTGTGAGAGTGAACTTCATGCTCTTGTTAGTTGTGCTTGCGATGGAATTTTCATTAAGGCTTGTGCCGAGCTTGCCTTCAATGCAAAGTTTCTTCATGTGGTTTTCACAGACAGCAGTTCAGCGCGCCAACTTGCATGTCGTCAGGGAAGTGGCAGGATCAGACACCTGTCAGGTAAGATCCTATGGATTCAGGAGAAGACGCAAGATGGAAGTCTTGAGCTCAGGCAGATTGGAACCCTGGACAACTTGGCAGATATCGCAACAAAATGCTTGAGCAAACAACGCTTGTTTCTCCTGATGAATGAAACAGGACTTGTCTTCATCCCTACGTTTGAGGCAGTTGGTGCAGAAGAGGCTTCAAGGCATCATGAGAGAGTTGGAAACACAAAGCAGTTGAAGAAAGTTGCAAAAGCAGTGTTACAAATGTCAATTGCGATGGGCCTTGAGCCGTGGAGAGCAGTTGGAGTTGCAGCACAG